GAATACAAATATCAAAGAAATAAAAAAAATTGTGGGCATTCACATTATTATGGGAAACCTCAGTTATCCTCGTATACGACTTTATTGGGACAGCAAACTTTGTGTAAATGTTGTTAAAAATAATATGCCGTACAACAGATTTTCAAAATTACGAACCCATATATATTTTACTGATGCCAATCAACCAAATGAAACTGATAAATTTTGGAAAGTTAGAGTTCTTTACGACAAAATACGACATAGGTGTATGCAATTATCACTTGAAACAAATTTAAGTATTGACGAACAAATTATTCCGTTCAAGGGACAGCTAAGCGTTAAGCAATATATAAAAGGAAAGTCGTGTCCATGGGGTATAAAATTGTGTGCCTTGTGTGGAAGTTCCGGTTTACTTTACGACTTCATTTTATACCAAGGACCTACTACAGAAATAAATTCGCTTCATCAACAAGTTTTCGGTCAAAGCGCAGCTGTCGTAATAAAACTTACTGAAAGAATAACCAATCCAAACCACCAGCTTTATTTCGATAATTATTTTTCTAATTACCAACTATTGCAGTGGCTTCAAAATAGGTATATTTATGCCTCCTGTACTGCTAGAGCAGACCGTTTAGCAAAACCTCCACTTTTATCAGATAAGCAAATAGCTAAAAAAGAACGATGATTTTCTCAAGAAATCATTAGTGCAGATGGACAAGTTATAATGACTAGATGGTTGGATAACAAATGTGTAACCATGGCTTCAAATTTCCAGTCAAAAGGCGAAGACGATACTTGCAAGAGATGGAGCAAAATAGAAAAAAAGTATCTTATGTTGCCTCGACCAGAAGTGATAAAACAATACAATGCCAGTATGGGAGGTATTGACAAATTAGATTTTTTTATATAGAACTTTCATAAGGTCTAAAAAGTGGACCCTAAGGATGTTTACTCATGCTCTTGATTTGGCATGCTGTAATGCATGGCTGGAATATCGAGAAGAAGCGAAGTTCCTCAATATAGCCCAAAAAGATACTTTCGATCTCTTCCATTTTCGTTTGTATATTGCAGAAGAGCTCATATATTCTGGACAAACAGTTAAGAAACCTGGAAGACCATCTTCAACTGATAATTCACCCCATTCATCTCCTACACCTAGCAAAAAAAGGTGTCAAGAATATCGACCTATCAAATAAATTCGATTAGATGGTATAGGACACTTTCCTGACTTTGACGATAAACCTACACATTCCCAAACAAGATGTAAATTTCCAAATTGTGCTGGAAAAACACATTTTCTGCAAAAAGTGTAAAATACATTTATGTATACAAAAAAAAAACAAAATTGTTTCTTATTGTACCACTCAAAGTAATGTTAATAAATTTAAATAAAAGATGCTTAAATTATTTCCTTTTTTACCTGCAACTCACAGTGTACTACATGTAGCACATTTTATATGTCAGCTGTCAACTTAGGTATATTTTTTTTGCTACTAAAAATCTTTAAATAAATCATTTATTTCATAGTGCCAATAAAAAAATATTATCCATAAAAACAAAAAGTCATGAGCGAAAGGGTTAAGTGGTTCATTAAAAAAAAAAAAAAAAAAAAAAAAAAAAAATGAGACTACCTGTTAGAACAGTGTTGCTGTTATTGTGGTATTGGGAACAGGTAGTCACGTAGGAGTTACAACAGCGGCACTTGATATAAGAAAGGCAGCTGTTTTACAAATATATCGACATATTCGTGATATATTATCATGGAAGCTAATTAATAAGCATTTTTTGTTAGGTAGGTTTTTCAAATAGATGAATCAGTTTTAACGAGAAGAAAATATAACAGACAAAGAGCTGTACCAGAGCGATGGATTATAGGAATTTATGCCAGAACAATGAAGAGGAATATATTCAATGTTCCCAATCGCTATGGCCCAACATTAGAAAAAGTAATTGAAGACCTTGTCCATTCAGGTTCTAAAATATGGACAGACAAATGGAGAGGATGCTACAATCTTGATAATATGGGTTGCACCCATAAAACAATAAACCATTCTAACATTTTTAAAGATCCTGAAACTGGTGTTTGTACTTATCATGTAAAAGGGTACTGGAGTATACTTAAACAGTATTTAAGACGTTTGGAAGTAATGTCAAGTCCCTTTCTACCTGAATATGTCGACCAGTTTATGGTAAAACTGCAAAAAATAAAATGACAAATTTATTAATTCAAATTAGTGGTACTTAGTCGTTTTTTTTAAAGAATTATTTGTTTTTATTATTTATTTATTTATCAACAAACAATTGTCCAATTAAAATACAAGTTTAATAAAAGGGAAAATTTAAAACCCAACCACTTAGAGAATGTTAAAACGAAGAAACACAAATTACCATAAAATTAACATACACATAAACAAGAAAAAGTTAAATATAAAAAAAAAAGATAACAATTTTAAATAAGTTAAATTATCTAGACATCAAGATATCACATACATGATTTAGGCTGGGATTTAAAAACTTTTTTATTATCAAATCAGTCCCATCTATTAGAATACTGATTAGGAAATCTACCTGACCTTGATAGAAAAGAATTATGTCCATAGTTAGTCAGATGTTGTCTAATATTGAAGGGCGGAATAAGCCTTGTTTGTCTAGAAGGAACATGAACATTGATTTTTCCCAATAGCCCTGCACTAAAGCTATACGAGTGCAGTATATTGTAGAATGTGGTAAGATCCTTGCGCATGTGTGTGATCTGAAGAGTGATAATATTAAGTGAACTCTCAATATTTGAGTAATTAATATCCTCGACTCCACCATGGTCTTTAAATGAAATAAATCTTAAAAATGTATGCTGAACTCTTTCAATGGCTTGAATATAACATTGTAGTGGGGGGACCAGACACATGAACAGTAATCTAAATGGATCCTTACAAGTGAACAAAACAATATTTTAATGGATGATACCTCTAAAAAATCCTTAGAAACATTTAATACAGCCTAGCATTTGAAGTGATTTTGAGACTGCCATTGATATAAGGGGTAAGATTAGTTGGAATCGAGGACTACACCCAAATCTTTAACTTGAGATACTGATTCCAAAGGACAACCATTAATATTGTAGATTATTTGTTCTGTGGGACTTCTGTTACGAATGAAGATCATTTGATGGCACTTTTTAACATTTAGTTCCATTCCATTGATTTCACTCCAGTTGCTAAGACGATCTAAATCAGCTTGCAGTTTTATGTAATCAGATTCGTTCTTTATTCTCATATATAATTTTAAATCATCTGAATAGGGCAAAGACAAAACAGTATGCAACACCATTCACATATAAATCAAATAGAAGAGGGCCCAAGTGTGAATCTTGGGGTACACCTGATGATACTTTAATTCCTATTGATTAGAAGCCCTGAATATGCACTATCTGTATTCTCTCAGTAAGGTAAGAAGATAGCCATTCAAGCAGTTCCCCCTGAATTCCCAAACTCTGCATCTTATTAATTAAAACTTTATGGTTAACCCTATCGAAGGCTTTTTTAATCTATATACACAGCATGTACTTGATAACCATTCTCTAGGGACTCCAAGAGATAGTAAATGTTGAAAGGTTAAGCTCTGCTGAACGATGAGAAATAAATCCAAACTATTGATTAATAAAACAGCTTTTTAAACTAATTAGAAAATATAAACTTCTCATTTTTTTTATATAAAATGATGTATTAAAATAAAAGGACATGGTCTTGTTACTAACTGAATCTCTTGGCAATTCTGCCATGGAAATCACAAAATCTTAGGTAAGAAACATCAAAATATTGCAACATTAATTCTATGTTTCTCAGATAATAGTGGATTATCGGTTATTACTATATAAAATGAGTACTTTTTAGTGTTTATATATTTTTTTTTTTTTCGAAATTTTGATATACTTAAAACATACTGGACCCTAATTTTAGGGGTTTCTGGTGGTATATTTAAAAACTAACTCTCCTTCCTAACCTAAAATGTATGTTTTGTAAAAAAAATGTATTTTTCTACTACTGGGCATAAAGTACATACTTTACCCAATCCACGGAGTGTGTATAGTTGTACTTTTTTTCACTAATGCATAAAGTGAAAAAAAAATAACTTTTACATTTCTTATTAGTGGATGTGTATGGTAGTAGAAAAAATATTGCATGCAACTCGTATGTAAAGTTCCTTTTTTGACTCATGTGATTATCCCACTGGCCTACGGGCTCCTATGACAACATAAAACAGTAACCTTACACACTTGTTGCATAAATAACTATTTTAAGAAAAGAACAATATTGAAATTAGGTAATTTTATGGTGTTTTACCCACTCGGCACCCCTATTCAGTGTTGCCAATTTGCGTATAATTATACGATTTTCGTATATTCTGACTTGCCAGCGTATCTTTTTCTAACTCTTTGAAATTCCGTATAATTTCCGTACATTTTGGGAAAAACTATGGATCTCTCTAGATTTCCATTTATTTTGAGAGACTCCTAAGTTTATTTGGACAAATAAGGTGTTTCAGTGTGTCTTTTCTGCTCTACTTTTATTAAACAATGACTGACTGGTAGCTGATTGCTTATTTTAGAGAACGCCACACTTTATGTTATTGACCAATGAAAAAAGTCCCGGAGCCGGGGATTCACCGAACTGATATTGTTCGTATTGTTAAAATGCACTTGGAAACTTTTGGCAGCCTGTCTGAACGAATCTGCATTGCTACATTTATTCTGTCGGCAGTGCCCAATCTCAAAAACCTAGCAGCAACACAAATTTGATATCCTCAAATGAAAAGATGTGGCTCCAAAGGTAAATCTACAAAGGCGTATAAAAAGCGTATCTTCTGTACCTAGCCACCGTATAATTTCAAGTTTGGGTATTGGCAACACTGCCCCTATTTGATCTCCCGACATGTAAAATTATAATAACATTTTGTGAAAAAGAATCATCAATATTAAGAATAACTTTTGCTATTTTCATAATTATCTCTTACAGTATAATTACCTGAATTGTTTATTTTTGAATCTACTTGATCTTGATCGTCCTGTAAATGTTCTGTATTTTGCACTAACTCTTCACATTGTGTATCATTCTCGTCGCTTGATTTTGATGAAGATCTTTTTCTCCGCCTTGCAGAACTTCGAGGTTTTTTTGGTGACTCGTTTTTAACATCATTTACAACTTGCGCTCTTTTACTTCTTCGTCGCATCTAAAATAAGTACATTTGAAAGTAATCAAAAAAATGCGGCGCCATATTTCATCGATATCAAGCTGAGCATCCATATTATTATATTCGAGTATAATGTTTATTAGATGAAATGTCGAGAATAAAAATGATACGCACCTTTAGAATATCTGCAAATAGGTAAAAACAAGCACAAAATACAAGTAGAGATAACTAAGGTACAAACACAACTCGCTAAACGTAAGCTAAAACCATGCTAAAACCAACCAAAAATCGACAATTTTATAAAAAGCGACTCCCATCACCATAAAACACTCACTTGTCATTTGCTTGTCCTTCAACCTTCAAATGTAAAGCGAAACGACCAAAAAACGTTCCTGTGTAGACGCGATCGGCAATTTTTACCTCCGTATACCCCTTTCAAACTTCATGTTACTGTTCTGTCGTCAGCTTTTTATGGAGTAAAAAGAAAAGAGTTATGGACTGTACACTCCATAGGCCCGTATTTATAAACAGGACAGGGATTCTTATGCGCGAACTTGGCGCGAACTCAACACGTAAAGAATCGAATAGAGGGAGACATTATATAAGAATCGCATTCTGTGAAACCAAGATAAGATAGGCATCTCAACACGTGCCGTATTAAAATATGAGAATCCCAATGGTGATCTCAGCTGAGTTAGACTTGAGTGAGTTGTCCACATACTTTGATTTTCTCTTACTATACGGAGAATGGTCGCACTGCGCAGCTTTCTGAGTGCCTTTTAAAAGGAGATAGAAAACTCCGCCATTTTGATGCCTTATTACGTGTTGCCTACATCTTGGCGCAATATTTTTAATAGGTGCGTTTTAACCCACATACTTTGATTTTCTTTTACTATACGGAGAATGGTCGCACTGCGCAGCTTTACGTGTGTCTTTTTATCCAACTGTTGCAGCAAAGTTGGCATCGGTGCGGTATGTCAACTGTTATTTATTTCAACGGTCAACCATAAATAAATCGAATCTCAACACAAAACGTTCAAGGCCGCATCGGTGAAACAACGGTTGCAACAAACTGGTGGAAAAAAAGACACACGTTTTCTGAGTGCCTTTTAAAAGGAGATAGAAAACTCCGCCATTTTGATCCCTTATTACGTGTTGCCTACATCTTGGCGCAATATTTTTAATAGGTGCGTTTTAATCATCCGCTTCTGCTTCGGAATTCTCGGTTTTCTTGTTTGAATCTAACAGGTTAAAACGACTAAACCGACAATTCCGGAAGCAGAAGCGGATGATTAAAACGCACCTGATATTTTGCTTGCTGCTGTCAGTGTCAGTGAATATTATTTTTGGAGTCACAGTTTATTAGGCATTCCAAACAAATTAATTACCAGTGGGCAGGTTTGGTATATCTAAGGGTAACGACATATGGTGTATTCTATCTACTTTACGTAAAATCATGAATAATGGATTACATTTTAATATTTTATGTCAAACACAATAAAAATAATATTTAAAAAACCCACCTATACATTTCTTCATAAATTGGCAAGCTTGGCGACTACTACTTTGAATAAAAATAGCGTCCAAGTTCCAAGACTATGTCGCTACCCCCTTAGATATACAAGAATTTCCCACTGGCACCTAATAGGTCTTTTCCTTTGCATCGAAAGTGTAGAACCGAGCTACACCACTTCTGAAAATATCGTTCCATTTATACAAATTGTATGGATGGAACAATATTTTCAGAAGTAACGTAGCTCAGTGCTACACTTTCAATGCAAAGGAAAAGACCTATTGTTTGACAGGTCGTTGGAATGCCTAATTACTAAAGAAACAGTTAGCTCACTCGGACCAGTTGAAAGTTCCAAAATAACATCCACTCCAGGGATACAAATTCAGGATACGCAGAAGACTGCTGTTTTATTATAGGCGGTTGTCATATATTGTATTATCCGAGTTGCGCAGTGTATAAACTGGAACATTGAGATCAAAAGTGCCGACGCAGAGTGAGCGATCTGATTCTTTAGCTATAAACTGTGGCATAGGAATCAAAATGGCCCCACCCTATGTTGGGCGTGTCGGACCTCTCTCTTGTACCGTATAGTAATCAAAGTATGTGGATTATCATAAATTAAAAGGTGTCATAGTTGAATGTAGAACAGAAGTAAAAGTTGGAAATGCTTTTGCCAGTTCTCCCACTTTATACACATAACTTGACAGGTTGTCAGCGGATCTCACCGAAGTGGACACGATACATTGGCGTACAAAATTATTTTATAGATGTTAATAACAATTTCGAGTAAATAGTTTAATAAATTGTGAATAGCTGTTGAAATTTTGTAAAATTATAATTTGAATATTATAATACATGTTTAATAATTATTTATAATCCATAAATACATGCGATTGTCCGGTTCCGCCGATAACAATTTAAAATTACTTATTCTATGAAACGACACTGGCAGGTAAACATTACTGTGAAATTCTCGGAGCCGCCCGACGTGATTTGACGTTTACCCCCTCTCTACCTACCAAAAGACTTTTTAACTTTTACTTTCTCTATAATGGGGTCTATTCTCTAACAATTCCTTTATATTTAACGGCCTTTAAAAATATTTTCTTCTTTAAGGCTGTATGTCACGATACTAAATTAAGTACTAAATTTAGCACTAAATTAAGTTATTAATTTAGTACTAAATTTAGAACTAAAAATTTTTTTTTCCGTTTGCAACGATACCAATTTTTAGTACTAAATTTACTATAGGCGCACGTGCATTGACGTATTAATACGTAAAATTAACAGAGAAATGAAATATTATGTGTAAAACAGACAAGTAAATGGTGTTTTTATTATCAATTTGACACTAGTTGACTTGACAATAACCAAATACAGCATAAAAACCACGAAAAAAACACAATAAAACCTACAAAATCAAACTTTATTCAAGGCGATAATGTAAAATTGTCGCTAATTAAAAATAAAAGGGTACAGAAAATACCGTCGTGTCAACTTTTTCTATGAAAAACTTCTGCGCAACATTTCGGCGCACTTTTAGTACTTAATTAATGACTTTTTTTAGCACTAAATTTAGTACTAAATTTGCTGTTTGCAACGTGAATTTTTTTAGTACTTAAAAAATGCATTAATTTAGTTCTAAATTTAGTACTTAATTTAGTATCGTGACATACAGCCTTTACTTATGCCATTATTTAAACGGATCTTTAAAATACATTAGAGGACTATCTAAAAGAAATCTGTTTAAATAATGGCAGAAGTAAATTAACGAACACGAAAATATTTTTAAGGCCGCCAATATTTTTAAAGGCCGTTAAATATAAAGGAATTGTTACAGAATAGACCCCATAGGGTCTTTAAAAATATGTTCGTATTCGATAATTTACTTCTGTCATTATTTAAACAGATTTCTTTAAGATAGTCCTTTAATGTATTTTAAAGATCCGTTTAAATAATGACAGAAGTAAAGAAGAAAATATTTTTAAAGGCCGTTAAATATAAAGGAATTGTTACAGAATAGATCCCATAAAGTGTTAAATTTAATTTTGATAATCCTTTTTAGTGCATTTCGATACGCACATGTGGGCGCCAAAGTGTCAAATATCACCTTGCTATGCGGCTTGATTTTGTTGATCTGCTTTGTTCTTCTCGTTCTTTTAGGCGAGTTCGGTCAGTCAGGGGCTGGAGCGGGACAAATTTTAGGGTGCTTTTAAATGACATTTAAGCGTGTTAAACTGTCACTAATCGGACTAAACCGAACGCTAAAAGAGTCGTTTGGAGTTAAAAGTGTTAAAGGAGTTAAAGGAACGTGGCAAACCGAACGCAATGAGTGTGCCATAGAACAAAGCGCATAACCTTACTTTATTTTAAATTAAAATAGTACAAGTTCAATAAAGTTCAAAAGTTCCATAAAATGTCTTTATCTTTATACACTAGAAAAGGTTAGTTTATTTATCATACAATAAAATTTAATTTATTTTAACTATAATTTTCAGCATTTCTCAAAACATTTACACCTACTGTTCAATGTCAACGATTTAGAGGAAAAATAAATGTACAGAAACCTAAACCACCCCATTTTGAAAGAGCTACTTATTTGGCATTATCAAAACCATGGTTTATAAATCCAAACAAATTAAAAACTTCAGTAGAACTTTGTAAATATAACGAAAAATTATATAATGATGAAAATGAAATTAATCAATATAGTAGAATCTTGGCCAAAGAGCTTTACACATATTTTTCTTCATCTAAGCTTATAGTATTTTACCACCACAATTCCATAAAAGCCGATGAACAGTTTAAATATTACTCTATGTTTAAAAAGCAAAATATGGAATTAAAGAAATATGGAAAAAAGGTTTTGCAATTGGCTGTCTCTGGAACTCCTTATGAAACTGTTTTAGATTTTTACTCAACACCTAATAATATGATTCTTTTCAGTCCAGAGTCTGAAATTGGCAAAGTTTTAAAGATTACAAAGAAATGTTCTCAACTTGTGTTATTAAGTAAGTAATTTTTTTTAATAATATAAACAAAATCAATAGGTTAGGGGGGTGGGTGGCTTCTGTTGTTAGAATCTGGACTTACGAATTCAAGGGTCCTCAGTTCCAATCCCACCATTACATTGGCTCGATTTTTTTAATTTAATTTATTTAAAAATAATTCTGGTGCATAGGTAGGATTTTCCACTCTGACCATTCATTGCTGGGTTCTAATTAACAGTGCTGTTCCTAAAGTGGTGATGGGAAACAGTAAAAATTCCTGTTTGAAGGGGTATAAGGCTACTAGAATTCCATAACCAACTTAGAATACGGGGCTAATGGCCTAAGTTGTCGAAGCTGAAGACACCATTTAAAAAATCAATAGGTTATTAAAAAATTACTGGATTTGGTAGCCATATTTTATTTTATTTATTTACGGAAAATCTCCTTTTACAAAATAATTATTATCAGTAGATATTTTTAACCTAACCTAAAGTATCACACAAAAAAGAAAAAAAACTTAAATATCTTAAATATCACAAAAAACTTAAAAAAAAAAACTTAGAGCTAAAGCTAACTAGATAAGTACTCCCTCAGCTGATTTTTGAACCTAAACCGACTAACTCCCAAATGATCAGTGTGTCTGTTAATTTCATTTCCTTACCTTTGAAATCTGGTTAAAGGACTGTTGAGTACGTAGTTCGTATGATGGAAGCTAATTGAAAATAATGGTTTCTCCTCTCTAATATTTGTTGTTTAATCTAAAGTTTATTAGCTCCAACATATCCGGACAAGCTATATTGATGAAACAACCTTTTAATGTACATTGTGCTTCAGTAATTTTTATTAACCAGCTAGCCCCTTGCAAGAATGTTCATTAAAATGTAAGAGCCTGATAAACTTTGACAAATGTTTAGACCGAGAAATTTGAATTTCAATTCATCCAACACATCACAATCTCAGGTTCTGTCAAAGTATATCAGGCCCATGAATTTTAATAAACATTCTTGCAATGGGATGTGATTGTTGGAAACCTATAAGTTCAACAGATAAGACATATAATTATGATAAATAATACTAAGATAGTGATGGCGGTAGGTATGTGTTTTCACAGTGTTGTCACTACTAAATGTCTTGACCTTAATGCATTTAATAGTCTGCAACCAGTTACAAAATGCCTTATTTTATGTATCGAGTGAATATTTGCGGGACGAGCAGAGCGAGGTCCTGCAACATGAACGAGTTACATAAAACAGCAATTCGTAATGTGTTACATACAATTAACATGTCTGGTATTAAAATAATATTTAAGTTAATATTTGAAAATTTTTAATTAAGTTATTTGAAGAAGTTAGTAATTAACTATTAAATGACATTAAAATATCCTTTATTGTACGGGGCGAGAAAAAAATATGTTCAAATTTGGATTTAACAAAACATCAATATCTTTAATTTTTTAAATGGATACAATATTTCATTAGATTCTATAGCTAAAGATAAGTGGAATTCTTGTTTATTTCCCTATAGGAAAATTAAACATCTACTTCTGGTATAAGCGGAAATGAAAACTCAAAATATTTTAGATAGAAAGATCATAACCTGTTTACTGTTTGTAATTTTTTTTAACAAAATTCAGTCTCAGATACAGATAGTGTCCCCCAATCGCTGGATTAGGCAAATGGTTTATTTTGATAAAAAAATCCTTGTAAATGGAATGTATCAAATTAATGATTTACAAGCTTATTCTAATTACCTATAAAATAGTTATGTAATGTGCTGAAGTGGAATACCAGCATTGACTAAGAACTTTAAGTCTTTGAATTAAAATAATCAAAAACGATCCATAAATTGGTTTGGTTTATACAGGCTGTTTCTTGTGTGGAGATCAATACAATACAATTTAGATGTCACTGGGTGTTCAATTAGTCAATTTCAGAATAATGTAAAAAGAATATGTTTTTAACATCTTTAGTATATTTCATACATTTAATGTTAGATTTTTGTACCTACCTTTTATAATGTATTTAAGCTATTTTATGTAATTTATGTATACTAATGGATCTTTCCATATTATATTTATTTATTTAGTAATTATCTTGTATGTATTCCCGAAAGACCATGTTAAAACAGGCCAAAACTTAAACAAAATATGTACTATGTAGAAGCAACAATTTACAATTTTTAATTTTGAGAGATGCTGATAATTTACTTTGAAAACGGTAACATGAAAGGAATCATAATCTGCTGACAGTAAAAAAATATGGCATATAATAGGTACTTGCTGAAATATTAACACTAATTCATGTTTTATGCTATATAATGTTACACAGGTTTTTGGTATCGCAATTTATTTCAACTCAACTTTAACAACAATTATACAACTGATAACATTAACATGTAACGTCTATCATAAAACTGAAAACTGACATCAGGATCATCCTTATATAGCTTGAACCTTCTCGAACTGTCGTCTAGAATATTCTTGACGGGTAATGACATTTCCAGACATTTCTGGACTATTCTTCTTTACTTGTACTTTTACTTATGACGACCGCAGCATACTGTAGGGCGATGAGTAACATTCCACTTCTTTTTCTATCTGTACTTTTCCTATAATAGCCGCAGGTTACTGCAGGATGCTGTGTAACATTATATATATTGCTTCCAGTTTGCACCACTTTTGCAATTTTTTTCTCCAAATTTTAAACAAGCGCCATTTTGCTATAAATTAACTTGTTACGGACTTATTGTTATTTAAACTAGCCGATTATTATTACAAAATTTAAAAAACTTTTGTAATTAATGTGAAATTTACAAAATGTCTTTATTGACTGGCCTAGTATTTGTTTATCACTGTTTACTTTTCATTTTATTTATATTTTAGCTGCTATTGTTGAAAATAAATTATTAACGACAGAAGATCTTGCCAAATACAGTAAGATTCCAAATATCCAAGCAGCACAAGCAGAATTGGTGCATCTAATCTGTAGCATTGGAAATAATCTAGTTACTAATTTAAATTCCCATCAAACTAATTTAGTTTCACATTTAGATACTAGAATTAAACATTTAGAAGACAAATAAATAAATTTATTAAAACAAAATGTTGTTTTTTTCAAAACATTTTTGAATCAATTGTGTGAATCAATGTACTGTGTTAAATAAAGTTTATGAAGGAGAATTGTCATACATTTAATTTTTATTTTTTTAACTTCTTCTTTTCCAATTTTATTGAAGATTTTAATGATTTAGTCTTCTCCACTCTCGTTTTGGCAATAGCATACTTGCAATAAAATGCAAAATTGGGTAAACACAAGAATCTGATTAGTGGTAAATTACGTAGGTATATTCGACAAAAATATTGCATATTTATTTTTGTCTCTTCCTGAGAAAATATCTTCGCATTTCTTGGGGGAAACTGAAAGAATAAAGAAGAATAAAACATTAAAAGACCTTAATCGAATATTTATATTGACAGCTGTCTTAATTGTAGTGGCGGCTCGCGGGTTTATTTTTAAATCCATTTTTTTTTTAATTTTCATTTAGTAATTGGTATAATTTAGTTGCTTTTTGTCTTGTACTTAGGCGCGTCAAAATTTCTTATTTTCTATACTTTTAATAAAAATAAATAATTTTGAATCATTTTTGGCAAACCCTGAAAAAATTTAATCTGAAAATGTATCCTTCATCTGGTAACATGGTTACCCTCTTTAAATGTTACAATGTTACGCCACTGACGTTTACAATAGATCTGAAAAGGTCGAGGTGGGGGAGGCTACATGGCTCACAGTCCTAACGAAACCTAATCGAGGCCACTTGCACTGGGCTAATATATTTCACAAGTAAGTAACCATTAGCGTCTTTACCATTTTTTTAAAAGAAACAGTACCTACATTTTATGCAAAAGGCCGTTAAATATGAATTTAAAACAAATGGCAAATTAACGGCCATTTGCGCCGACTTTTTATTTAAGATTCCTTATTGCCTTAGTTAAGGAATCCCTAAAATTATGTAATTTGCATCATTTACATTTTAGGCCCCCTTATCAAAGGAATTTTAGTTATTCTCATCGGTAAGTGATCTTGTTCTCAATCGAAATCCTGTAAATTGTATCGAAATTTTGATATATTGATAATAAAAGAAAAATAAGAAAATGTTAACCCATACTATACTAAGAAAAATAAAAAAAAAACGATGAATGACGTCATCGTGAAAAAAACTAAAACTGTAAAACTATAAAGTGTTAACCGTCCCTGTGTAACTTTTGGAAAAACAAGAATATATAGAATATCGAAATAGATTGAACAAAATAATTAAAAACATAAAAACTTATATTATTCAAATAAAATAATCTGTTATATTTTCAATTTGTTCCATAACTTGCATTACAGTTTCTTTATAGGTACAATCCAAACCTTTTAAAGAAGGTCAAATTATCCATTTCATCGAAATAATTTGTTCTATTATACAATCGCCTTGGAAACTCAAAATCAGCAATTTCAATTATTTCCAGTTCATCATTAAATATAAAATTATCCTCAAGGACTCCTTAACTGACGGTGCAATGAAAGTATGTCTCTTAATCCAACTTAACTTTAAGTAATCCAAAAATACGTCGGTGCAAACGGCCGTTAGTGAATTAAATTTAAAGAACTTGTATGATGTATGCGGAATATTGTTTTTGATTTTGGACTCTACTGAAAAGTTAAAAAAAAAATAATCATAATTTTTCAATATGAACAAGCTTTTTGTTTTTAAGTAATTTTATCATGATAATGTTGAAGATGTTAAATCAATATTTGTTTTTTGTAGGTTTCCAGCTATTCCTGCCGAAAAAACGCATTTGGTGAAACATATTAAAACTTACTGCAGAAAACATTTCAAATAGTAATGTTTTAGGTTTCAATATTTTTCTGGATATATATTTATGTCAGACTGGATGCAGAGGTAGAACTAGAATAATTCCAGGTGCATTGCCATCAGCATTTACTGAAGCCTCAGAAGAAGATGAATCTAAAAGGTACAGAACCCTGCACCTTTCTTGTGGGTTATTCGTTCAAAATTTTTAATTTTTCAGTGATGATCTGAACCATGTTGCAGAAAAAGAAAATGCAGAATTAGAAAACACGTAAGTAACTAAGTACTTTTTAATACAACATACATTTTTTTTAAATAATTACCTATTACTACCTATATTTTTTATAATCCACAAAAATTGACAATAATTATTTTGTATTAAATGTATAGTTTGAGAAAAAGATATAGTGTGACTTTAAACCTTTGAAGCCAGCCGACAACATACAAAAAAAAACTAAGGAAACTGATACCCCTGATACATCGCAATAAAAAGTAGTAGAGGAGCATTCAAGAGATTGAGTATACTTATTTTATTTGTACTTTCCTCGATAAAAGGGAAGTTTTGTAATCGTGAAAAAGTCACCCTACGAGAATATTTTAGATTTTCACGTGTTCGGATCCCTAGAATACGAAAAACATGTTTTCCCCATTCAGTAGGTCTATGTGCCGTCCGGCGTCTGTTGTCTGCCGTCTGTCTGTTGGCGCGATAGCTCAAAAACGGCTTAGGGAAAAAACTTTTTGTATGCCGATATATACAGGGTGAGCAGTTAAAAAAACATCTATTTTAAAAGTCAGTAGATTTCGACTAAAATTGGTATCTGATCTAAGATAACAGACATAAATTACTTTTCAAAAATTCAAAATGGCTTCCCTGTTTTTACAATTTATACAGGGTATTTTTGAATGATATGCTCATATTATAGGGTGTGATTCCTCAGGTTATTTTATGAAGAAAAGTTCATATGAACATTTGTTTTTTAAAATCTCTGAAAATAGTTTAGATATAATTTTTAATTTTAGCATGTGAATAGGATATAAAACCTATTAACACATATCTACCAAAATTGAAAATAATAAAAGTAGATCGAAAAATGTATGCAGTTGCGGACTATGTTCATATTATGAACTTTATAAAATGACCTGAGGGATCATACTCTGAAATATTAGCACGTCATAATATAGAGGGAAGTTCTGTGTAAAAACTTCTCAAACTGGAATGAAGATTAAAGAAGTTCTTAAATTGATAAATATTAAACAACAGCATGGTGGTTTTATAAAAAATAAATGAATGAGAAATGAATGAAATATGGATTTAAAATAATGTAGAGGCACTCAATTTCGCAAGCAACAATCCCTTCTTAACTGTGTCGTGCGTGTCATACCATGTTTCATCCAAATAGTAAATTTGTCTATTTTCTTGTCTATATTTCGTTATTTGTTCTAAGTATCCATTACGAATATCGATTATTCTCTTGCTTTCCATAACTGCTTGCCGTTTATTTATTGTTTTAAATTTAAATCCCATTTTCTTCAACCAGTTCTGAAGAGTTCTGTCACAGCAGCCCAAGTTATATCCCGTGTTTTCCAATTTTTTTCTTATTATTTCAATTGTAGGTATCTCATTGTTCTTGTAACTGTCGTATTCCAAGGTATTCCAGTTAAATCAGATGTTGCTTGTAATAGTATTTTTGTGTCGAAACCAAACTTCTCGTGCAGATTTATGTACACGTTAAAACATATTTTCTGTGCTTGATAATTCAAATGACTTCGTTTTTTCTTGACTGGGAGCTCTTCATCTAAATCACTACCACAATCACATTCAAAACTACCACCGTCACTTCTACACTCAAAATTTTCACCTTTGTCATTGCACATCACAAACTCGGCGTCGGTTTCACATTCTAAAATATTACGGTCGTTATCAAATTCTAAAATATTATTATTATTGTTATTTTTTTTTTTTTTTTTTAATTTGGTGTTATCGGCGTCGACTACTACGGCCATTAGCCTCGTGTTTTGTGTAGGCTTTGTTACTGTTTCCCAGCGCCACTTTAGGAACAGCACTGTTAATTAGAACCCAACAGTGAATGGTCGAGTGGGGAATCCTACCAAGGCATCAGAATTAATTTTAAATAATTAAATTAAATGAAAAAATCCCGGCCAACGGTGGGATTCGAACCTGAGACCTTCCGATCTCAAAGTCATGACTCTAACCACTGAGCCAACCCACCCCCTTATTATTGTTATTATTATTACCATTGTTATCCCAAGGCCTCCATAACTCCATCGTGTTGAATGTACTCCTAAGAAGATGTTCGCTTGACTAAATTGTCTATACGAAGTGAGTATAAATAGCCATAAAAACGTAAAACTGGACTGGCTCGAGACAGAGGCGTGCAATGCAACAATATAAATGAAAAATGATTATTTTATTTAGGTACATTTCTTATAGAACCTACATAAAATACACCACCTCGATAGGATTAAATACGCAATAATAGGAGGAAGCTGCAAAATAATGACCATGTACTTTGCGTAATTTTTCAATGACTTATTCTTACTTTAAATTATTTTTTTAATAGCTTCCAATAACACCTTTTTTGTAGCCTTTTAAGGAATTTACAAATTTTTAATCTACATGAATTTGAGAATATCATCCTTCTTGGTACTGCTATTGGGAACTTTGCTATGAAGACCGGAATGATAAGATGCATTGTCCATTACAATGGGAATTTGGGAAGATATTGGGCGGCAATTTTTCAGTAAACCACTTTTCCAATAGACTGGCGGTCATATCTTCATGATAATCAGCCGAAGAGCGCTTTATATTTCTAGCCGGCAAAAATAAAGCGTTGGGCACAAAACCCTTATCACTTCCTGCATGCAATATAATCACTCGTTTGCCGCGAGAACAAGGTCCGTTTAATTTGCAATTACTACTTTTATGTACCCAACCATGCTCGACTACATCATGTATCGAACCATGTTTCATCTAAATACACTATGTGCTTTTTTGCTTGACGATATTGCTGAATATTGCGTAAATAATCTTGTCGGTGAGCTACTATGCGATACGATTCCATAATAACCATTCTTGTATCTATTTTTTTTATATTTAAAATCGAGTAAGACATTACGCAAAGTGTATAGATATTTGTATTTATAATCCGGGAAATCCTGTAATTTATCCCGAATCATTTCTAAAGTCGGGTCTTGGCTCTCTCTATAAAATTGATACACTACTCGACGTATAACTTCTTTGGAAGCATTATTAAATATGTTTAGCTTTTAGTCAGATCTTTTTCGCTTTAAAGAATAGTCGACGATATCTCCTACCTTAATCACTTTATAAACTTTTTACTATTCCCTTTCATAAGGTTTCATGATTTTCACTTTTCAAGCATGTGTATATATTTAAAATAATTCTTTGTGTTTGGATAATATGTCTTTTGCCGCGTTTGAATATCCACATGGGATGCATTTTCTACATCTCGAGCGTTTGTTTATCAATATCGGACACATCTACTACACCTACATCTGCGTTTGTTTATTCCAGATGTA